GAACTTCCACATGCACACACACAAACACACAGGGCCATACACACACGGGCGTAAAAAAAAAAAAAAAATCCACAAAGCAAGGAGACCTATTAGTGCTAAAGAACATTTCCTAATTTTCCTTGGTCTGTGTGATACATATGATAGGATGGTCTGGAACCCCGCCTGGGAGGAGGTGGCCAGCACTCAGAGGCTGCAGCTACCTAGGAGTGCTTTATCAGAAGAGGAGGCAGAAGGAAGTTAGTGGCAGCAAGCTCCGCCCACCTGCCAGCACGGGAGGAGGAGGGACCCACCCCCCCCCCTTTCCCACAGTCTCCGCTCCAGTGTGCCAAGTGAGTCCTCCCCTTTCTCTTCCAAGGGTATGGGCATGTGCTTTCACTTCTGCATCTCTAGCCTTTAGCAGAGTGCTCAAGGCAGGAGGTCTTTATTTTTAAAAATGCTTGTTGGATGATGGGTTGGGAGTATGGTTCAGTGGGTAGAGTGCTTGCCTGACATCATTAAAACTTTGGGTTTCAGAGCTCCAGCTTGGAGCAAAACAGCTGTGGTGATGTATTCCTTTCATCTCAGCACTTAAGAGGTGGAGACAAAAAGGCTAACAGCTCAAGGTCATCTTCAGATACACAGCTAGTTTTTGGTTAGGCTGGACTACAAGAGATCTTGTCTCAAAAAAAAAAAAAAAACAAGATAAAAATGTTTGTGGATTGCATTCTAAAAAAAGGATCCTACAAGCATTCTAGCAGGAGGAGACTGTTATGGGTGAATCCTCACAGGTACTCCCAGCAGGCTGAGATCGGCAGCAGACAAGGGGATGGGGCCATTTAATCCAGAGGACAGAGCAGGTGTTCTGCGCTGGCGCCCAGCTAACCCCTGCTCATGCCCCATTGCACTAGTGTGTTGTGCCCGGTGAGGACTAGAGTGTCATCTTGTCAGATGGCAGACTCTCGGTAAGTGTGAGCCCCCAGAGTCTAGCAGGCCCCTCTGGTTTGTCTGGTAACACAGTCTGCTGAGAGAACTGCTTCACGTCACCTGAAAGTCTTATCTGTGGCTAAAGCCACGGTCCCCAGTTCCCGTTCGTGCCTCGCTGGTTAGGTTTCGTCAGCTCGACAGAAACTAGAATCCCCTAGGAAGTGGGGCCCTCCACCGGGGAATTGCCTCTGTCAGATTGGCCTGTAGGCAAGTCTGTGGAGCTTTTTTTTTTTTTTTTTTTAATTGATGATTGGTGTAGGAAGGCCAAGCATGCTGTGGACAGTGCTGTCCCCTGGGCACAGAGACCTAGGCTGTACAAGAAATGTAGCTAAGTAAGCCAGTGAGCATCATGCTTCCGATCTCTGCTTCAGTTTCTACTACCGGGTCCCCATCTGGCTTTTCTCCACGAGGAACGGTAAGTTGTAATGTGAAATAAACCCTTCCTTCCCCAAGTTGCTTTTCAGTCATGGTGTTTATCATAGCAACAGACAGCAAACGAGGTCAAGCGTGAAGCTATTTTTGGTGGAAATTGTTATCTCCAGTTCTGACCAACAGGCCTGGCTTCTGTTTCCGTGACAGCCCTCCTGTGTGAAGTGACTGGGGAGCAAAGGCTTCGAGAAGCCTGGGGCTCTGAGCCCAGTGTGAAGCAAAGGCTACCAACATGGCTTTGGTTGACTTAGTGTTTAGATTCAGCTCGATTTCTTACAGAGAAACTGGCTGAGGCAGGGAAGGCTCACCAATCAGCACAGAGTCCACCTCCAGCCTGAGCGCTTCTTCACTGGCTAGCACTTACACTTACACGTGCTAGCCTTGTGGCCTGGATGCGGTACTCAGCGTCCCTCGGCTTCTTCATTGGTAAAATGGGTGCAAAACAAGGCTAGACCTCCAGAGGCTGATCATAAGGATGAAAGAGCTTTGATTCAGAAACCCCCTTCCCATGTGGTATGCACATGGTGATTTAGAAATTAAACTGTTAATGATTTTGAAGGTGTTGTCTAGAATTATATACCCAAACCTCTGGGGGGGGGGCATCAGATGTGATTCGGAATAGAGAAAATGTCAGGATTTAGAGAAATAGCGTAGAGAACCCTCTCTTTGGCCCTGAAATGTCCTTAGTGGGGTCCGGAGGCCGCCTCAAAAGCAAACATTAATATTTCCTTAACAGAGAGATGAATTTTCTCAGGAGCGCAGTTAGCTGACCATAAGTAGTGTGAACAGGCTCAGGCTGTGTTGCCGGATGAGACACCGTCTCCCAGGCACTGTGGAGCCTGGCTGTAGAATGGGAAAGGTTCCCCACTCTCCTCTCACGCCCAAGGTACACCAAGAGCAAAGTGCATTTCCTGAGACTGAAAACAAAAGCCAGACAGCTCCGTGTGTGTGTCCACTCACCTCTGCGTGTTCATGGAACGGAGAAATGCCAACGGACTTCCAGTACGACTTGGTGTCCAGCTCTACTCTGTACACTCCTTCTACGAACTTCTCATGTGTGGTGAGCCCGTGCAGCTCTCCAGACTCAGCTGTGCTCCTGGAGGGCACAACAGTCCAGGTGAACGTAAGCAAAAAGAAAGGATCACTAGCATGGCAAAGAATCCACAAACATGTGAGCATACATGTGTGTGTGTGAGTGTGTGTGTACCCGTATGTATCTGTGAGTTCTTTCAGTCACCTGAATCAAAAGGAAGGAAATTCTTGTGTTTGTGATAAAATGGCAAGAAATTCATACAAACTTTACATACAGCTCTATTGTAGAGTTTTGTCTTATGAGAATAAAGTATAGTAAAATGTTTACCTTAAAGGTGTTAATCTGGGTATGGAGGCCCACCTGTTATTTCAGTGCTCTGCGGTTAGAGGCAGGAGGGTTGCTGGAAGTTTGAGGGCAATTTGGTTTATATAGTGAGCTCTTGATAAGACAGGACTAGGTGTTGAGACCCTGTCTCAAAATTTGTTAATTAAAATTTTCAAGGGAGAGAAAGAATAGCTGTGAGGCCCAGGGGTGTTGTTCAGTGGTAGAATTCTTTCCTATGATTTGTGTACTCCTGGATCCAATCCCCAACAACACACACACACACACACAGAGTATTGCATTCAGAGTTAATGACGTGATGATTCATGACAGTCCCTGAAAATGTCACAACCTACTCTAACTCTAGTCCCCTGTGACAACAGAGTGGTAGTTCAGTGTCCCAAGGCACAAGGGTAACTTCCAGAAGTACTGTCATTTATCATAGCAGAAGGCCTAGTAAACAAACAAACAAAAAACTTGTAACTGACTTTCTCCTTTTATAAATTTAATCCATTTGGTAATTCTTTGCCAACAAGAAATACCAAGTGACTCCCGTTTTCACGCAGGCACCGGTTCAATAATGTTAGAAGCAGTTCAAAAATGTTCGAGACTGCTCCCCATTGAATTACAACCAAGACAGATAAAAGTGGTGGTTGTCTTTGGTGACTCTGAACAGGCCTATCATCATCTCTCCACCTCCTTTTTTTGGTGTGTGTACACGAAAGAAGAGCCACAAGAAAGTCTGAATATTTGGGTGTAGTTCTATTCCAACTTAGAGTCCCCTAACTACTTCGCATGCTGTGCTTGACACTTATATAATCACAAAGAGATTAACAAATAGAAAGTCAGTTAAAACCACACCAAAGAAAATGATCTTCCCAATGACTGGTGAAGAGCACTAGTGGGTCTTAGTATTCAATTAAAGCCTAGTAAAGGCCTCACCCAGGAGGCATAATGCTTAAGCTGTTCTGCTAAGTGCTAAGGTGTCTTTGCTGTTTTTCTGTGTGCTTTGTTTGTTCAGGATAATTAGTGATTTAATTGTTAAAAAAAAAAGAACAAAAAGTAGCAGATCTCCAGTGGTGATGTGTTTCTTATTAAGCATGGCGGCTTGCACAGAGCTACTCTGTAATGGTGTACATTTAAAAAGCCTCTGATTCTGGATAATGCCAGTAAGCTCCAGGAGGGTGCTTTGTCAATTTTTTTTCCTTTCATTAATAAGTTAGCACACATGTACACATACTTCCTAAGAGTCTAAGACTTGGAATCTGAGAACTGAAATTACATGTATATGGTTTTATATGCATTTGCCCATGGACCTCTTTGTAGCCATGGGGTCTATAATTTTTATTTTTTTTTTACCTCTCTTTCTCTCTGTCTCTCTGTATGTGTGTGTTGTATGTATTGTTGGATGTGGTGTGTGTGTGTGCGTGCACATGCACGCATGCGCGCACGTTTGCATGACTTCATCTCAAAGCTGGATGTCTTCAATTATTCTACACCTTGTTTTCCAAGACAAGGTATCTCGCTGAACATGAACCTACCTATTCATCAAATCTGGTAGCCAATGAACTTCAGCTCCTCCCCCCCATTTCTAAGCTCCTAAGTTCCGACTACTGTTGCAAGCATGGACTACCATGCTGGGCTTCTTACACGGAGTCTGGGGCCTTTGCACTTGAGTCCCCAATCTTCTGAGCAGGCACTTCACTGAGAGCTACCTCCCCAGTTCCCAGAGACCATCATTATCATCACCTTCTTCAAGTAGGATGAGATGTAAAGGGCTGCAAACCCCAACGAAGCAGGGAAATCACTGACTCTCCCTTTTCCCTTCAGCCCTAGACTGTGTTCTGCCTCCTAGTCATGCTCAGTTAAGCAAGGCAAGAAGGCAGCTTTCTTCAGCTCACACCTTTAACCTTCTAACAGATTCTTGAGCTACCAGGTTTGTTTGGTGTATATATACATGTATATATGTATACCATATATATTATGCATATGTATGTATAGTTACATGATTTGCCTCCTTTTGTTTTATGTGTACAAATGTTTTGCCTGCATGTGCATCTGTGCATCACACACAGGGTAGACAGAGGAGGATGTTGGAGCCCCAGAAACGGGAGTTTCATGATGGCGAGCTTCCATTTTGGTGCTGGAAGCCAAACCCCCTATCTCCTGCAAGAGCAGTAAGTGCTCTTAACCTCTGAGCCACCTCTCTTAGCCCTATGGCTGGTGATTGCGTGTGCCTGACTCCAGCAAACAGGAGGGTGAAAGGGAAACTGGAACTAAGCCTGTGGTGGGGTGTTCTGCAAGCTTACCCAGAGGCAAAGGACTCCCATTTTCCCTCGCTATTCTTCTTGAACACTTTCACAGCCACATTGACAGCAGGGCTGCCTCGGACAGCATCCAGGACTTTGACCATCAGAGGACAGTTGGATTCTCCAGTGCCCTGAGAGTAGAGAAGACAAGAGAGATGTCGGTGAAATGGATCATGGTAAAAGGGCTTGTTCTTTCCGGTGTTAGAATCTGGAACAAAACCAAAAGTACATGCTGATCCCATCAAGATAACATAAGTGTTGACAATTAATGAGCTTCCTTATTCAGCATAACACAGGCAGCACTGTTTCCAAAGCAAGAACAGTTTCTGCCCCCAGATGCACTGCTGGGCACCAGGGATATATCGAATGAATTTTCAAAGGGAAAACAGGCCCTCTGAGAGCCATTGTTTTGTCCACCTCCCCTTCTGAATGGAGCCACTGAAAGGGGCACAGTGCAAAAAGAAACAATGAGCTTTTTCTTGAGATAGTTTTAATCAGCTGTTGCTATAGTAATTTCCTCTAGTTGTATCATAGCCCCCACCTATTCCCTGACCCATTTCATTGAGCTATTTAACTCTTCTGGAGGACTTCATCAGATACTATGATAGAGCATCGGCCAAAAAAGAAAAAGAAAATCAATAGTACATTTTGATTAGCTGAAGAACTAAAATATAATCTTTCACAACAGATATATTAAATATAAAGTCTACTAGATATATTAAATGTAATTTGTGAGAATTCAATACTAACAGCCCCACTGATCATATCCCTTTTCTTGTACAGCTGGAGATTGAACACAAGACTTTCTACATGCTAGGCATTTGCTGGACCACTAAGCTACACACCCAGCCTTTTTGTACCTTTATTCATGTGTTTATTTCATATGTTTATTGTCTAAGGACATCAGGGTACTGAGTGCCACAGAGTCAATGGGCCAAAGCCACAGGGGGAAGAGCCAAGGGTCCAAGCCCCAGCCCTTCTCTTTGGAGTTTAACGGTAAACATGGACCATGGGTACCCTTGTCCTAATAACACCAGCTAGATCCCAAAGCTGGAAGAAGCCACTTCTCCTTCATCTAAGGTACACCTGCCATTGTCTTGAAAGGCTTGCACAGGATCACTCACCGCAGGGTCAGCCTCAGACAGAAATACCAGTCCAGCGAGGCAAAGGAGGAACAGACGAAGGGAAGCCATCCTGCCCGGAGTCCTGGACCTCTGTGATGGCTGCTCCAGCTGGAGGGGCTTTTATACCCCCTCCTCCCAAGCCAGGCTGCTGATCCCTGCCAATCTGACTCTAAACCTGCTGATTCTGATTATTGACTTAGTCAACAAAAGGAGAATAAGTAACCTACACAAATATGAACCTTGTCTAGTGAGATTAGAGGCTCGGAACACCCATTCTATGAAATATTCTCAACCGGTCATTTGACCAGCCAGATTCCACACAACAAAATAATCTAAACAAAACAAGAGCAGCCTGCCCATGTGGGTTGAATGGAGTAGAATATGGGGGATTTCCCCCTTATCAGTTTCTATGCATCTTTTCCAGTTTTTATATCTTTGTTTTTTATCTTTGATTTTAGATGATAGATATAAATTGTAATGATTTGTTGGATGCTGATTGACATCTGGCTATTGTGTATATTTAAATATAATGCATTTGAAGATACCTCTGCATTAGGTTATGAGCCATCAAGGAAGCTTTAAAAAAAAATCAAACTTTCTTGTAGTCAAACTAAGCCATTTGGAAGCTTTTTTTTGAGTCTGTGTGTATGTGTACCACCATTTCTCCTTTCCTAGATAAGGTTCATCCCAATCTCAGGAATAATGGTGTATTTCAGATTGCTGCTGTGAGAGGGTAATGAGAAATCTTTACTGAGGCTTCTCATCAGGAATGGGGGAACAAAGACACTGGCTAATCTTTATCAAAACTGAAACTTCTGGAAGAAAGGAGGCATGGCTGTGAGAAGAAGATCCTGAGTCTGTGACATCTCTTCATCCTCACTGACCAATACAAGTCCAGAAATGCATGAACTCTTGATGTGTGTGTGTTGTATGCTGTGTGAAGGCAGTTTTTATTCTTACAAGGATGATATGTAAGATATACACAGAAAATGCGTGTTTTGGACATGTGTCAAGGGTGAGGGTACCTTGGCGCACCTAGAGTTGGAGAGGTATTCCAATGGCTGATAGAACCAAATCAGGAGAGGGTCAACAAGAAATCATGAAGAATACCAGCTTCCAGGGAGACATGGATGGGACAGGAGGGAATCCCAGGATATGAAAATGTGCAGATGGCTTTGGAAAAGCGGGCAACTATAGGAAAGCAACACAAGTCAGTACAGCGAGAGCAGGACTGTAAAGTCCCACAGTTTAGAGTCTGACAAGGTTGGAGGATTAGACTCAATGGCCTCCTTGCTTCTAAAAAGGATTTCCCATCTCAGATATCAGCCCACACACTTGTAAATCAGAAACATCCAAATTTCTCTTTGAAGGGGGTTTTATAAGAACTTTAAATATGACATGTTATAAATGCATCTTATAAACTGGAAAGCACAATTGTAGTATGATTCCATTCAATATCTGTGTCTAAGGAGAAGATGCTTTCTCCAGAATCTCTTATGCCTTGTAACACAAGATTAACTTGATGGAAAGCCATTCTCTGTACAGGAATCCTAAACTTTTGAAGGTTCTTTCAATACCCAATGAAACCTCCCACTCGTGTATATGAACCTCACACTCTGTTGAAACAAGAATTGCCTCCCCAGAATCCTGCAAACTAACTGTGCTGAGCTGCCAGTTGCCCACAGGCACCATTGTTTCTCTAGAATTATGAAACATCTGCAGAAATTACAAATTGAACCATGTTTCATTAAAACCTGGACTTTTGGCTCATCTTGAGAAATTGGAAGACGGCAGCAGATGGCTTACATTCTCATGAAAATGCTCTGTGGAGTCCCATGTTAGGATATCTCAGTTTCCCGAGTCCCCTCTAACTCTGAGGCCAGATGACATTGCTACAGCACTCAACTTTTTTGTTTGTCTGTTTTTGTTTTGTTTTTTAAATGCACATCTGTATTCCCGATTCAGAAAAAAGCCCAACCTCTTTATAATTTAGTTGTGATTGCTGGTCTTCTGGCAGCATGTTTTCTTTTGCCAAATAAACACACCAACCTCTTTGAGAGATTCCTCTTTAGACATAGGACCTGGAGTCCTCTCTACCAGGACTTTGTCCTCTGGCGTCCTCCCACTGGTCAAAGTTTCTCTTTAAATGTGGTGCACTGAGCCGGACACACACTCCAGATAACTGAATCAGACACACACTCTAGATAACTGAGCAGGACACACACTCTTGATAAGATCACTCCAACCCTGAGGGCATGGAGATGAGGTTTTAGTCTTCCTTGACAAGCACACTCTGCAGACAGTGTTGTACCCTGAATGCATTCACTGTGGCCCCTCCCCACTCTGTCTGGCACAACTATAAAGCATCCATCATAATGAGCTATGCTCATTTGTCAATTTCTTTCTTTTTCTTTTTTGGCTTGATGTTTAGGGATGGGATCTCACTATGTAACTTTGGCTGACCCGGAGCTTACTACATAGACCAGGCTGGCCATGAACTCACAAAAAGATTCTCCCAACTCTGCCATTTATACATTTTAAGCTAAGTATAGGACCCCGCATTTATCTCTGACCATCGCATACTGGTAGTTCTTGCCCACCAACCCATCCTACTGACATTTGATAATTGACTGTATTAACCAGCGAATTAGAACATCTTCAGATGCTTTGATGTGTTTGATTTTTGGAAGAACATCACCCTAGAAAACAGTTTTTAAAAAAACCCCAATAATTTGAAAGAGACAAGAATGTGAAGGAAAAGTGAGGTGCTTTGAAGCACAGGGAGACATTGAGTATGATGGGAAAACTACTTCCCTGCTGATAGCCCTTACAGACACGGATTTTTAGACCATGTTTGAACAGAGGCTGATGATCAACAGGTAGACTGTCTGGAGCCTGAGTCAAAGGTCAAGAGCATTTTATGTGCTGGAGCTGGACAGAAGGAAAAACCGACAGAGTAAGAATATATGTCCAAGACGAGCTTATGGGACAAAGGACAGCTGCGCCCTGGTAAAGCCAGATGCTTCTTGCCTGACAGTCATTTTGTGAATAGGTCCCATGGATAAACACACTTTTCTAAAGAAAGAAGAGCATGCTTCTTGTTTAATTGAATTTGTAAAAACTTTTGATGGCTACAGGGATCTATCAAGAAGGATGAGTTCATGTCAACATTCCCCATTTTTCTGGAGCCTTTGCTGTAGACGTTGCCTGTTCTGGGGTAATGGCAGCAGTGACTAAGATCTGCAGCTAGACAACACAAGGACCATTCGTGCAGTGTTCAAGGTAGAAGGTGGTGTCTTTTCTTCGCCTTTTGCTGGTTTTCTTCGAATTCTAGCTGTGGTGCTATAGCCTACATGTTTAACTAAGGTGAAAGAGAGACTGATTTAGCGACAATATCTGTTTTTCTGCTACCAAATACATGGTAGTTAATGAACAACCATGGCTGGCTCCTTGTTTGAGATGCTTTTGCCTTCTCCCTTAGGCTGCACAGCTTCATTCAACACATCATTTCATCCCCTAAACAATTTCCTCATTTGTTTTCTGAAGGTCCACAACAGACACCTAGCCAGCTAGCAGTCTGTAGGCCCTGGAATGTTTGCTAATACTATTGCCATAAGCTGATTAGCAAGAAGGGGAGTTGGAGGGCCAAGTGCTCTCGTTGCACCTCATGGTGAGAAAGTTAGGAGAGAAACAAAGGTGTTTGGGACTCTGGATCTTTGCAGGTCAAAGAATTCAATTTTGTTAGCTCTCCTTGAGGGGGATAAGTCCTGGGGGTTTGAGTAATGCTAAGCAAATCATAAAGCCTCCTTTGAAAACCATAATGCTGATTTAATTAACAGTCAGGCAGTCTTCTGATAATCAAGGAACTGGAGCAAGAGGGCTCTGCATGTTTCGTGAGAATGATTTCTAGGTGGGAGAACCTGGCTAAAATTGCTTACTTCATTGTTGAAAATTATTTATTTGCTTTTTTGTAATAGACATGCTTGAACCTGCCTTGTCTAGTGTGTTTTTTTTTCCTCCTGGGAGTTGAATGCATAATGAAAAGGCCTCTTTCTTCTTCTCTTCTTTCTTCTGTCTTCTAAGAATCCAAAGGATGACTGACATTATCCAGGAATAGTCATTACATCACCTTTTAGTTTTTGGTTTGTTGTAGTTTCAGTCTCATGGTTAACTGTAAACTGTAGTGCTCTCCTAGCTCGGAGTGACAGCTGAGAACACCCTTCTGTAAGACTGCCCCCCAACTTGTATCATGCATGCTGCCATACAGTGTGATGGGGGACAAAATCACCAAGAACATTGATCTCAGCTTCCCTGCTGTCTAGAACCTACTCTGTCTCTCTCAGGTGGGTTCTGATTTGTCTACTATCTGCAGTTCAGATGATTGCCAGTTAAGACATCATGCCTTGGTCTAGTCTGGGCTTACTACATTGGTTGCTGTGTTCACACATTATTTTAATTGCTTTATCCATACATAGACATTATATGTGGGGAGAGTTTTGGCTTTTAGAATTTTCCAAAGATTATCCTCCTATTTTATGTGGAGAACGAGAAGGTTCAAGGCCTTTTTGTCAAGTAGAAGGGTTTCTCTTGGTTTCTCTTTGTTGCTCCTTGCCGCTTTCAGGGAGCTAGTGAGGCCCAACAGGCTTGAGGTCACTTGGCACTTTGACGTGTCTGGCTATGATCTGTGAAGGGATAGCAGGAATACGGTGCATCCAGGGACCAGCTATCTTTCCAATCTAAACGTGTCATCGGCTGTTTCATAGCTCAGCTTAGTTTCCAAAAAGACTGCAGTGGGCTTGGGCCAACAGTGCCAGCTGAAATTAAAGATTTGATTGATCTTTCACCTGTACTTTCATTGTCCTTAGAATTAGCTGCACGGCTCTGTGACCACAATCCATCATCAAGGATTCAGGGTTTGGTTTTGACCACTGCTGTTCTCTTGTGATGTGGAGGTCTGACTGATAAAGAGACATTGTAAGCTCAGTTAGTTAAAAAAAATAATACTTCTGGGCATAAGTCAATGTGCAACCTTCAAGTGGCCCATCATTTAACTCTTAGGGAAGACACGTCTTCATTAAACTGGAAGCAATCAGTGAGTGGGCAA